CTCAATACATGGAAATTGAACGGCACACTTCTTAGCAATGTCTGGGTAACGGAAGAGATGAAAGAAGAAATAGAAAATTTCCTACAACTCAATGAAAATGAAAACACCTCGCAAAGAAACTTGTGGGACACAGCAAACGCAGTGCTGAGGGGCAAATTTATTGCCCTCAGTGCCCATATCAAGAAAATAGAGACATACCAAGTAAATAATCTCATGTTGCAATTAAACCAGCTAGAAAAACATGAAAAAATGGAACCTAAAGTTACTAGACGGAGCCAGATAACCATACTAAAAGCAGAGATTAATGAATTAGAGAATCAGAGAACCATAGCCAAAATTAACCAAACAAAAAGCTGGTTCTTTGAAAAAATAAATAAAATTGATGGACCATTGGCAAGATTAATTAAAAAAAAGAAGAGAGGAAACCCATATTAACAGGATTAGGGATGCCACGGGAAAAATCACAACAAGTACGCAAGATATCCAAACAATTCTAACGGACTACTTTCAAAAGTTATACTCTCTAAAGGAAGAAAACCTGGCAGAAATTGATGCATTTTTAGAGAAATACAAGTTGCCCAAACTGAGCAAAGAAGAAGTAAATCAATTAAATAAGCCAATATCCTACAACGAGATACAGGAAGCTATCAGAAGTCTTCCAACAAAAAAAAAGGCCAGGACAAGATGGATTCACAGCAGAATTCTGTAAGACCTTTAAAGAAGATCTAATACCCATACTCCTCAAGCTCTTCAGAGAAACAGAGAAGGAGGGAGCTATCCCAAACTCATTCTACGAAGCCAATATCACACTCATCCCCAAACCAGGCAAAAACCCAACCAAAAAGGAGAATTACAGGCCAATTTCCTTGATGAACACAGATGCAAAGATCCTTAACAAGATTCTAGCTAACAGAATCCAGAAACACATAAGAAAAATCATACACTATGACCAGGTAGGCTTCATCTCAGAGATGCAGGGGTGGTTTTACATACGAGAGTCAATAAATGTAATCCAACATATCAACAGAGCCAAGGTCAAGAATCACATGAGCCAGGAGGCTGAGATCTGAGGATCACAGTTCAAAGCCAGCCCGGGCAGGAGAGACCTTGAGACTCCTATCTCCAATAAACCACCAGAAAACCGGAAGTGGCGCTGTAGCTCAAGTGGTAGAGTGTTCTTGAGCTGAAGAGCTGAGGGACAGCGCCCAGGCCCAGAGTTCAAGCCTCACAACCGAAAAAAAAAAAAAAAGAATCACATGATTATCTCCACAGATGCAGAAAAGGCCTTTGATAAAATTCAACATTCATTCATGCTAAAAGCTCTGGAAAAAATAGGAATAGAAGGAACATTTTAAGCCATTTATGACAGACCAATAGCCAATATTATACTTAATGGGGAAAAGCTACAACCAATTCTCTTAAAATCAGGAGCAAGGCAAGGATGCCCACTGTCTCCACTCCTCTTCAATATAGTCCTGGAACCCTTAGCCAGGGCAATAAGGCAAGAAAAAGACATTAATGGGATCCGCATAGGGAAAGAAGACGTTAAACTATCCCTTTTTTGCAGACGACATGATACTATACGTTCATGATCCCAAAAACTCCATCCCCAAACTCTTAGAAATCATAAATCACTTCGGCAAAGTAGCAGGATACAAAATCAACCAACAAAAATCAGTTGCCTTCCTGTACACTGACAATATACAAGCAGAAAGGGAAATAAAGGGAGCAACCCCATTCACAATAACCTCCCCAAAAATAAAATATTTAGGAATTAACCTAACCAAAGATGTAAAAGAACTATTTAATGAAAACTATAAAAAGTTAAAGAAAGAGGGTAGGAAGGTGGCTCAGTGGTAGAGCGTTTGCCTTGCATGCTCGAGGCCCTGGGTTCAATTCCTCAGCACCACATAAGCAAAAAGAAAAAAAGCCAGAAGTGGCGCTGTGGCTTAAGTGGTAGAGCACTAGCCTTGAGCTGTAGAGCTGAGGCACAGCGCCCAGGCCCAGAGTTCAGGTCCCATGACCGGACCCAAAAAAAAAAAAAAAGTTAAAGAAAGAAATTACAGAAGACAGTAGGAAATGGAAAGACCTCCCATGCTCTTGGATAGGCAGACTTAATATAGTGAAAATGGCAATGCTGCCAAAATTAATATACAAATTCAATGCAATTCCTATTAAAATCCCAATGACGTACATTTCTGAAATACAGAAAACAGTCCAAAATTCATATGGAACAACAAAAGACCTAGAAGAGCCAAAACAATTCTAGGAAATAAAGACAACATGGGAGGGCTATCCATGTCGAACTTCAAACTCTACTATAGAGCTGTAATAACAAAGACAGCATGGTACTGGCACAAAAACAGACCCGAAGACCAATGAAATAGAAGATCCAGAAATAAATCCTCATGCCTACAGTCAGCTGATATTTGACAAAGGAGCCAAAGACATACAGTGGAAGAAACACAGCCTCTTCAACCACTGGTGCTGGGAAAACTGGGCAGCCACATGCAGAAAACTAAAAGTGCACCCCAGCCTATCACCATGCACCAACATCAACTCAAAATGGATTAAAGACCTTAACATTAAACCTGAATCTCTGAAACTACTGCAGGACAGAGTAGGAGAGACACTTGAACTAATAGGCACAGGAAGGAACTTCCTGAACAGAGTCCTAGGGTCACAACAAGTTGGAGAGAGACTTGACAAATGGGACTACCTTAAAATAAAAAGCTTCTGCATAGCTAAAGCTATCACAACCAAGCTAGAAAGACAACCAACTAATTGGGAAAAAATATTTAACAGCAACATATCAGACAAGGGGTTAATATTCAGTATATACAGGGAACTCAAGAAACTAATCCCTTCCAAACCTAACAAACCAATTACTAAATGGGCAAGGGAACTAAAGAGAGACTTCTCAGATGAAGAAATAAAAATGGCAAAGAAACACGTGAGGAAATGTTCACCATCTCTGGTTGTGAAGGAAATGCAAATAAAGACAACCCTGAGATACCACCTTACCCCAATCAGAATGGCCCACATCCACAAGTCAGCCAACGACAAATGCTTGAGGGGATATGGAGAAAGAGAAACCCTATTACACTGCTGGTGGGAATGTACACTTATACAACCACTTTGGAAAGCAGTCTGGAGGATCCTCAGAAAGCTAAATATTGACCTCCCTTATGACCCAGTCATACCACTTCTAGGCATCTACCCTGAACAACAGGAACCAATATACAATATGCAAGAACACATGCACCTCCATGTTTATTGCAGCACTGTTCACAATAGCTAGGATATGGAAACAACCCAGATGTCCCACCACAGATGAATGGATCCAAAAATTGTGGTATCTATACACAATGGAATATTATGTAGCCATTAGAAATGACAAAATAATGACATTTGCAGGGAAATGGATGGAGCTAGTAGAAATCATGTTGAGCGAGGTAAGCCAAGAGCAAAGAGACAAACGGTACATGGTCTCCCTGATAAGTGGATGTTAAATCCAAAATGTTAGGTGATATGACAAAATTAACAGGACTTAAGAAACAAAGAACTTCCACTCACTCATCTGGATGAACCACTACTAAATAACCCCACACTGCTGATCACATGTATGGTGTATATGTGTATACCATTATATGTTATAGACCCTGATAGACAATTTGCTCCAGGAAAGTTAGAATTAGTTTGTGACTATAAATGAGCATCACTATCCCACAATACTGTGAAATTTGGGAAATTATGTAATCACTTGATCACAATAAAAAACCACAAAAAATTTACAATAAAAAGTTCTGCTTTTAGACCTGAAAAAATAAAATAAAATAAAATCCAGTACTTCAAAGTGAAAAAAGAAAGAAAGAAAGAGAACATAGCCAAGGTGTTCTTAAGTCAACTCCAGGCCACTCTGCAAATAGACAAGTAGCCATCAACAGGGCTGGAACTTACTAAGAAGAAATAAAGGAAGGAAGGAGACTTTTCCATACATTCTCTCTCTCTCTCTCTCTCTCAATATATATATATGTGTGTGTGTGTTTAAATTTTACAATAAACTTTATCATCACTAAATATAACTTACACTATGCTATCATTCTTTTGGAGAAATATCATAGATAAGGTCAAAGTCTTCTAGAATCTCATCCCTACCTGCCCAGCAAGTAATCTACTGCAAAGCCACTGCTGTCATTATGATGAGTGCATTCCACATTCCAGCAGAAGAGGACCTATTTTTACACACACACACACACATACACCCAATATAACAAAGTTGCATCATGCTTATCTGAAATGCATGTTTAACGGAATGGCCTGTTACCTACTAACTCTACCCTAGAGTTCTTGTTTAAATACTGGAGGGTCAGGCTTCTCTTCTCGTGACAGATACACATGTTCACACTTCTTGCTCCTCATTCCTTAGTAAGGCTGGTAGGAGTCTAGTCTCCAGAGTGGCTGTCCGTGGGGACTTCTGCCCCCAGCGCCCCCTTGCCCCCTCCACTGTCCAGACAAACCGTGGCCCCTCCCAGTCTGCCCCAGTGCAGCCTCTTCCCCAGGCATGGCTCTGTCTGAGGACCCAAAATTCAGGCAGGCTTGGCCCATCGCTCCCTGCCCAAACTATTAGCCTTCAGAAGCAAATCAGGGGCAGAGTGCCAGAGGGGAAACGGGTGGGGCGGGGGAGTAGAGGGAGGACCACGAGGCCGGGTCGAGGCCGGGTCGGACCAGCTTGGCCCAGCAGTTCTGCTTTCTTCTGGCGTCCCCGCCCATCCTGTAAATCTCTCAAGCCCCGCCCTCGCGACCACCCAGCTACCCCCGCCCCCCCAGAGGGCGGGGCTGATACCCAGAACCGCCCAGCCACGGGAACTCCAGCCACTCGCAGCGGGGGCCCTCGGAGGGGGCGTGGCTTTGCAAAAGCAGCCACGCAGCTGAGCCAATCCGGACGTGGGAGGGCAAAGCTGATCCCTACCTGGGCCCAGGTGCACCCGCTTGGCAACTCGCCGCGCACGGGATGGAGCTGGTCCCGGAGGCCTCGCCGGGAGTCCAAGCCGGGGCCAATTTCCCGCAGGAACCCAAGGGAAGCCAAGTCCAGGGACTGGAGGAGCCTCGGGTCCCCGCGGGGGAGCCGCAGGCTGACGGCCCGGGAAGCCACCAGGAGCCGGCCGGGGCGGGCCAGGACCTCGCCGAGGACAAGTTGCCGCCGCCGCCTCGCCCCGGGCCCCTGCGGGCGCAGCCGCTCAGCCTGGGCTACGGCGCCTTCCGCCATCTCGGGTCCACCAGCCGCGAGCCGCCGTCGCCGGGCCCCATGTCGGCCGAGCAGCCCCGGGATGGCGAGGGGCCCGGGGCCGAGCTGCTGCCCTTGGCCGCCCTGGGCTGCGAGCAGGCAGCGGGCACCTGGGCGCCGGTGGAGCTGCAGGTGGACGTGCGCGTGAAGCCGGTGGGCGCGCCGGGAGGCAGCCCCTCGCCCGCGCCCTCCACGCGCTTCCTCACCGTGCCGGTGCCGGAGTCCCCCGCCTTCTCCCGCCACGCCTCCCCGGCGCACCCCCTCCTGCAGCGGGCCGCGTCCCCGAGCGCCGCGCGGGGCCGGGCCTCGCCGCTGGCCGCCGCCGCCCCGACGGAGCGCGATCGCACCGGCGCCGAGAGCCCGGCCACCCCCGCCGAGGAGAGGCCTCCCGGGGCTCTCGCACGTGCGGATGCCGGGAGCCGGGGCTGGAAAAGGAGGACGCCTGGTTGCGGGGTGCCGGGATGGATGGCCAGGAGCTGCCGCGGGCCATCAAGCTCATAGGTGAGTGCTCACCAGCTCCCACCCCCCGCGCCGGGCAGCGGGAGACCACGCGACGCCACCCGACCTTTCTACCTGGTTAATATCAGGCCCCAACCCGCGTGCAATTCAACTTTGGCTCAAAGAATAAAAAGCCACCCACCCTCACCCCGCCTGGGAACTTGGAGGTGCGCAGCTTCTAGGAGGAGGGAAAGGAACTTCGCTTGAGGGAAAGTGATTCAGGATCACGGGCTGGAACACAGCCCCAGGCCTGGCCCCAGCCCGCCGCCCCGCCCTCTACTACATCCAGACTCCTTTTGTTTCTCTCCACCTTATGGAAGAGCATTTGGCGCGAGTTACCTTGTGCCAGAGGGGTGCGGCTGTGGAGGTGTGGAGAGTTGAGACTAAGAGCCCCCAAAGGTGAAAACAATCCCGGAGAAGGAATCAGCCTAGAGTGGTGGGTGGAGGTGGCAGTTTGCTGGGAGCATTTTAAATAGAGGCTTTTTCTGGTGTGGGAAAAACAGAGGCTAGGGGATGCTGGAGCTCTGCCTCAAGGCTACCTCGAACTCTGATGAGAGGTAAGACCGGCAGGACTTAACATTTGCCAGTAGGTGTGAGCTCACCTTCTACATGGTGGAATATGGGTTTTCTATTGCTGTTGTCACAAATGTCCCCATCTTTAGCTGGCTTTAAATGACAGATGTAGCGTCTGTCCGTTTTGAAGGTCAGAATTCTGAAGTAGGCTTCCTAAACTCCAGCCAGAGGATGTGTTTATTGCTTGAGGCTCTGAGAGAATCTCTCCCTCGCCTTTTCTAGCTTATCCTAGACACTGTCTGCATTCCTTAGTATTTCTTAGCCTATGTTTCTCTCAGTATTCAAATCTGATACCTGGAACCAAAAAGAGTAGGTTGATAAGGAAGGGCGGAGCTTGTGGTGAACCGAGTGGAATTTTGAGATGGAAAGTGAACTCTGTGGTATGCTGGCTCATGCCTATACTCAGCTACATAGGAAGCTAAGATCTGAGGATCACAGTTCAAAGGCAGCTGACAAGTCCTAGAGACTTGTTAAAATCTCCAATTTTAACCAGCAAACAGCCTGCAGTAGAGATGCAACCCAAGCAGTAGAGTGCCAGCTCCGAGTGGAAAAAGTCAAATGAGTGCACCAGGCCCTGAAATCAAGCCTCAAGATAGGCTATTTAAATAAAGAGAAAGGGAACTTACACTGGGTGAGGTGGCTTACACCTTTAATCTAAGCTACATGGGAGGCCAGGTTTGGAGAATCACAGTTTGAGGCAAAAAAGTTTGTGAGATTCTCATAACTAATCATGCTAGCCCACACCTGACATCCCAGCTGTGAAAAAAACACATTGGCTGGTCTCAGTGGCACATGCCTGCAGTTCCCAGTGACACAGGAAAACACAAATAGGAAAATCATGGTCTGAGCATAAAGTGAGCATAAAGTGAGCATAAAGGGCCTGGATAGAAGGCCTGGCTCAGTGGTAGAGGGCCTGCATAGCAAGCTCAAGCCCTGAATTCAATTCTCCCAAAAAGAGAAAAAAAAAAAGCTGTCCAGATACTTGGGAGGCAGAGGCCAGGAAGATTGTAAATTTGAGGCCAGTCCAGGCAAAGTCTACACTGAATCTCAAGAACAAAAACAAAAGCTATGGCTCCATGGTAGAGTACTTGCTTAACAAGTGCCAGGATTTAGGTTCTACAAAGGAAAAGAAAAAAACCCACAAAACTTGGCTCTGGTAACTTTATGAAGGAAGGGGGGCTGGGGGACCACAGTCATGAGACTGACCAAACAGCTTTGGTTCAGGAGGAGATGAGTGCTTGATGGATGGCAGAGTTGGTGGACTGGACCGACCATACAGACAAGGGGAGGAGGAGGATGTCAGCGGTGTCACAGTCCAGCCATTGTATATCCTTCCGCAATAGCGAACATGGGAGGAGGTGGTAGAGAAAAAAGTTCCTTTGGGTGCTCCAGGAAGGAGATGACAAGAAGGGCAACTTTAGGGCCTGAAGAGGCAGCCTGGGGCTGGGGCTGGGGCTGGGGCTGGTAAATCATAGATGAAAGGGAATGAGGAGAGGCTTGTGGTTCATTAGAAGATTCGTTGCTTTCTGGCCAGGTTTGGCATTCTGGGAAATGTGTGGTGAACGTGGGCTTGGCCTGGAGAGGAGCTCTACTGAGTGGGTAACCCTGTTACTTCCAGCCGGTGTTCTTGACAAGACGGGTAAACTAAGGCACAAACCCGCTTTGCAATCCCACCCCTAGAATGAACGAACACGCCACTGCGGAGAAGGTGGGGACCGCCACTGCTTCAGCTCTTCCCTCACAGATTTGGCAAGGGCCAGAGGAGCTGTCCAGCTGGGGAGAGACGCCTTCCCCCGGAGCACTTGGGTGCCGGTCACGCAACGACTGTGGGCAGTTAGAAGGAGGGATCCGTTTGCAATGCCTAATGCTGGGGAAAGAGTGTTTGTCCCGCAGGTCTTGGCTGGGAGTCACTTTCTCTGATCCCTAAGGTCTGTTTAGTTGTTCCTGCCCTGTACTCATTGGCCCTTGAACGTAGCTGAATTCTGTGTGTGCGCATGTGCGCATTGTCAGGCCTGAGGCTTGAAGTCAGGATGGGCTCTTGTCCTTTTTCAATCAAAGCTGACACTGCTGCTTGAGCCACAGCTCCACTTCTTCTTGTCCCCCTTAGACACAGACTTGCTGTGAAACTCCAACACCTGACACGCGAAGGTCATCCTTGACTATAGCACATTCAGAAATTCTGATTCCTCGGCCTTTTCTGGGGAAGGAGAACGGGGGTCGGCCCTGTGGTCGTCCTGTGCTGTAACAGATGTGGAAGAGGCCATGAAGACATAGACGGTCTTGGCCCCTGCCTTCCTCAGAGCTCAGAGGCTCTGTGTTCAAGCCTCATGCCCAACCAAAAAGTAAAAGAAAACAGCTAAGAAGGTCCAGGATTGGAGAAGGGAGAAGATAAGCTAATGGGGAGTCTTGTCTTGAGCTGTGTTATGCCACGTAGACCAGGCTAGCCCAACTGGTGATCCTTCTGCCTCAGTCTGCCAAGTGCTAGAATTAAATGAGCAACCATACCCAGCTAGTGACAGTGGATGTAGCTTTGTCTGTGTGCTCTGTGGGTTTCCAGTGCCCAGGAGAGTATATTTCTGTTACCTGTGTAATTAACAATTGCTTTATAGCCTGAGTGAGTGGGGACTTTCTCTTTGGCTCTGCAGGGGGCCATATCCAGGCTCTGGCTTAGAATTAGGTGGGTCTTTTAAGGGATAGGGGAAGGGGGGACCGTTCCCTTCTCAGTTTCTTTACTATTTTGTTTTCTGAAAGGTCACAGCTAAATGCAGGATTCAGCCACAATACTTACCAAGGCAATTGGTCAGTTTACATTTTCCTTGTCTTCACCTTTATGCTTTATTTGTTTATTTATTTATATTTTGGTCCTGGGGCTTGAACTCTGGGTTTGGGTGCTGTCCCTCAGCTCTTCAGCTCAAGGCAAGTGCTCTACTACTTGAGCCACAGCGCCACTTCGGTTTTCTGGTAGTTTATTGGAGATAAGAGTCTCACAGGCTTTCTTGCCTAGGCTGGCTTTGAACTGAGATCCTCAGATCTCAGCTTCCTGAATAGCTAGGATTACAGGTGAGACCCACCAGCACCTAGCTTCTTTTATTATTTTAGACATAATTTTATTGCTATTATTAAGGTGTTGTACAGAAGGGTTACCATTTCACAACTCCAGTAATGTGAACATTTCTCTTTTGGACAATGTCTTCTTTTACTATTTTATGGCTCAATTTATCTGCATCTTTTTTTTTTTTTTCCTGGTCCTGGGGCTTGAACTGAGGGCCTGGGCTCTGTTCCCTGAGTTTCTTTTACTTGATCAAGGCTAGTGCTCTACCCCTTGATCCACTGTACCACTTCTGGCTTTTTTTTACTGGGGATAGGAGTTTCATGAAAACCAGGGCACTAGTGCTCATGCCTGTAATCCTAGCTACTAAGGAGGCTGAGATCTGAGGATCAGGGTTAGAAGCCAGCCCCGGCAGGAAAGTCTATGTGCAACTCTTATCTCCAATTAACCCCTCAAGACCCAGAAGTGGAGGAGCTGTGGTAGAGCACTACCCTTGAGCAAAAGAGCTCAGGGACAGCACCCAGGCCATGAGTTCAAGCCTCATAACCACACACACACACACACAAAGTCTCAGACTTTCTTGTCCAGGCTGGCTTTGAACTGCAATCCTCAGATCTCAGTCTCCTGAGTAGCTAGGATCACAGTCATAAGTCACTGGCACCCAGCTATCTGCATTTTTTATTTGCAGCATTTTTAGAATCCCTCTGTGGGTTTTGTTTGTTTTTGTCTGTCTCTGGGCCTGAGTGCTATCCCTGGGCTATTCAGCTCAAGGTGAGCACTCTACCACTTGAGCCACAGTGCCACTTCTGGTTTTCTGGTGGTCAATTGGAGTCTCACAGACTTTTGCTGCCTGGGCTAGCTTTGAACCTTAATCCTTAGATCTCAGCCTCCTGAGTAGCTAGGATTATGGGCATGAGCCACCCGCACCCGGCAATGCCCTCTGTTTCTGAGGAAAGTTCATACACTATGAAAGTCACCGATTTGAAGCACAGAATTTAGTGGATTGTCAGTTATTCAGTGTAGGACAGCTATCTCCACGTTCAAATTAAAATTATTTTCATCACCAGCAAAAGCCATCACCTTCCAGCCCCCAGGCCCAACAATCATTTTGTCTGTTCTGGACATTCTATATCAATGGATTTGAAGCAGGAAGTAACAGAAATGAAAACTAGTAAATATTAAAAGTAAGTACTAAAGCAGATGGCTCATACCTGTAATCCTAGCTACTAAGGAGGATGAGACCTGAGGATTGCAGTCCAAAGACAGTGATCTGTGAGACTCTGTGAGAGTCTGTGAGACTCTTCCATTAACCACCAAAAAGCCTGACATGGAGTTTTGGCTCAAGTGATAGAGGGCTAGCACTAAACACAAAAGCTCAAGGACAGCGCTCAGGCCCTGAGTTCAAACCCCAGCACCAGCACAAAAATAAACGAACAAATGAATATTAAAAAAGCTAAGCTGGGTGCTGGTGGCTTAGGGACCAGCTCACACCTGTAACCCTAGCTACTCACGAGGCTGAGATCTGAGGACAGTGGCTCAAAACCAGCTTGGGCAAGAAAGTCCATGAGATTCTTTTTTTTTTTTTGTGTCGGTCATGGGGCTTGAACTCTGGGCCTGGGCGCTGTCCCTCAGCTCTGCAGCTCAAGGCGAGCGCTCTACCACTTGAGCTACAGCGCCACTTCTGGTTTTCTAGTGGTTTATTGGAGATAGGAGTCTTACGGTCTCTCCTGCCCGGGCTGGCTTTAAACCGAGATTCTCAGATCTCAGCCTCCTGAGTAGCTAGGATTACAGGCGTGAGCCACCGGCGCCCGGCTAGTCCATGAGATTCTTATCTCCAGTTAACCAGCAAAACCTAACAGTGGAGCTATGGCTCAAATGGTAGAGCACCAACCTTGAGTGAAAAAGCTAAGAGACAGTGTCCAGGCCCTGAATTCAATCCCAAAACAACTAAAAATCTTCACAAATGGATAAAGAGACAGAGAACTAGAAGACTTGTATATCAAAGTCCTAAAAATCCCATGTTTTGGGCAGGCCTACGTCTGTGTTTAGAATAATAAATGGCATTGATCTTAGCCACCTGAGCCACTATCTAATGGTTATGGGCTGCTAAGTGCTGATGCTTCCCCCAGCTCAGAGCATAAGGGACCAACAAACAGGCTGCCATTTTTGAGCTTGTCGGCCACTGCTGCACTTAGCTTTGTCCCCATGTTCTTATTTCTCCCTGCTGGACTAAAAGACATCCTTGCTACAACTTCCACCTTGTGAGCCTCTGCTTTTCATGAAACTTCTTGGAAATCATTTTAAGTATACATTTTCAGTTCCTGTGATTTTGGGCCAGAAACTGGGGAATTGGGGAATCCACCCCCTTATATTTCATCCAGTGACAGATTTTGTCCTTTGGTCTGCCTTCTTATTGGACTTTGCTTTTGCTTTACTTTTGACCTTGAACACTGGATCCTCCTGCTTCAACCTCTGGAGACTACAGGCATATACTACTATCCTCAGCTATCTGGCCTCTCTTACCTTGTTTTCAATTAGCAAATATTCTTAATGCAGAATTACCCTCGCTTTTTCTCGGGCCTTGAGAAAGCAAAATATTACATCCTCTCAACTCTCAGACTGATTGGTGGGCACTACTGCATATCATCCCCACCCCACCCGCCCAAGGCTCAAAATTTAAGAAGGCTCGATTTCCTCAGTGTGGTGTGAGTACAGGGTTGGACACTTTTATAACTGTCTGTGCCTCTAAGGAATGACTTGAATCATTCCTACTGTCTATGCAGTGCTAGCTCTGAACTCGGCTTGATGCTTGCTGGGTGTTCTACTACTTGATTGACACCCCTAGTCCCCTTTTTTTTTTTTTGCCAGTTGTAGGGCTTGAACTCTGGGTGTGGGTGCTGTTCTTGAGCTCTTGAGCCACTTTCCAGTTTTCTGAGTGGTTTCTTGGAGGTAAGAGTCTCACGGACTTTAGTGCCCAGGCTGGCTTTGAACCGTGCCCCTCAGATCTCAGCCTCCTGAGTAGTCAGGATTGCAGGCGTGAGCCGCTGGTGCCCAGCCCCTGCCACCTTTTGCTACCTGAGCCATTCCTGCCACGTTCCTTAGTTACTGTGTTAGCAGTTTACAGGTGTTTCTGGCCAGGCGCTGTAGTTCCTGTAGTCCCAGCTTGTGGGGAGGCTGCGGCAGGAGGATCAAGGCCCACTCGGACAAGGTAATCCCATCTCCGAGAATCCCAATAAAATAGAACGTTTTATTCTTCAAGGCTTTGCTGAGCTGCCTCAACCCTGCGTCTCACGGCCTATAGCAGGGCAATTCTCCCAAGCGGCATGTGCACCTTCCCGACGCTTCCTTCATGCCACTCTAAGACCTGGAAAGATGTGAGATGCTGGAGTGATTTTTTTTTTCTTTTGGTGGTAGGTGGTAGTGAGGATTGAACCCAGGGCCTTCAGGAAGCCAGAAAAAGATTCTCCCCATTGAGCCATGCCCAGTCCTTTTGCTTTTAAGATCCTTCCTCATACTTTTGTCTAAGCTGACCTTGAACCTCTATCCTTCTACCTCTGCCTCCTAAGTAGCTGGGATTACAGGTGTGTGCTACCATAGATTGTGGCAGGTATAAAGTGAAGACTTGAACCTGATCTGGTACCGAAGTTACTCCATAACAAGAATCACTCGTTCTGTGCATCTCTCTTATGTGTTCTTACATCTTCTAGCACCTTGAGCTGCAGAATATCTTCTAGCATGCTTCTCCTGACACGAAGTGCTAACCTCCATTGGGTTTTCTGCTGTGATAGGGTGGCTGTGACGAGTGGGTGTAGATGGGTGTGGGTGGGGTCGTTTCTTCTAACCTGTATCTGTCTGCCCCCTACTTCCAGGGCTGCCCATGTACATAAAGTCTTTACGATGGTCCCTGGTGGTCCTGGCTGTGTTTCTGGCTGTCTGCACCATCACCATCGTGGTCTTGGCCTCCAGAGCAGGTAGGGTGCCCCCTCGTCCTTACAGGCCCTTTGAGAATAACCATGTGACATCCCTCTGCAGAGATGCAGCGTGACCTGTGGAGCGAAGATAAAAACACTGATCTTCTCCTCCCACAGGACACAGCTGTGCCCTGACCAGTCAGAGGATAGCAGCCTTTGCCCAGGGGAAGACTTGCACAGTGCACACACTGTACCACCACCCCCTGCGGAAGTTTGACTGCTCCCTGAATGCAGATTCCGTCCCTTTCCCCCGCAAGTCCCAGCCAGGTCTGCTGCTCACCACAGCTCATTAGTTACCGCATGACTCACCCAGGTTTCTGTCCTCACAGGAGCTGTGTGCCAGCCATGCCCTCAAGGCTGGATGTGGTCTGAGGAGCGCTGTTACTACCTCTCTGCAGAAGCACAGGACTGGAAGGCCAGCCAGGCCTTCTGCATGGCTCACAACGCTACCCTGCCTCTGTTCAGCCACACCCAGGTGAGACCGGGCGGCATTCCAGGTCCCTGAGTCCTAGCCCTGGAAGAAATCTCTAGATCTCATCCTCCACACTAGAGCAGTCACTAAGGCCCAAAGGACAAACATATAGGGCCAAAAAATTGAAGACCCGCTGGGTGCCAGTGGCTTATACCTGTAATCCTAGCTATCAGGAGGCTGAGATCTGAGGATCGAGGTTCAAAGATAGCTCGGGCAGGAAAGTCGGTGAGACTCTTCTCTCCAGTAAACCACCAGAAAACCGGAAGTGATGCTGTGGCTCAAGTAGTAGAGCGCTTGCCTTGAGCTCAAAAGCTGAGGGACAATGCCCAGGCCCAGAGTTCAAGCCCCATGACTGACCAAAAAAAAAAGCAGATCAGGGCTGGGTATGGCTTAAGTGGTAGAGTACCTGCAAGGCCCTGATTCTGAAACCCCAAATTACCACAAAAATAACTAAAACAACTGACACCTGGTAATCCAACAGTCTTATCCACTTAATCAATCATCTGAATGTGGATGTAGGGCTCAGGTGGTAGAGTGACAGCCTTAAGTGAAAAAGCTAAGCAAGCATGTGAGGTCCTGAATGCAAGCTCAAGTACTAATGCATACACACATACACACAACTTTTTTATTTTTTGGGGGGTCTGGTCGTGGGGCTTGAACTCTGGGCCTGGGCGCTGTTCCTCAGCTCTTCAGCTCAAGGCTAGTGCTCTACCACTTGAGTCACAGCACCACTTCCTGCTTTTTTCTTTTTGCTTATGTGGTGCTGAGGAATCGAACCTAGGGCCTCAAGCATGCAAGGCAAGCGCTCTACCACTGAGCCACCTTCCCAGCCCCACACAACTTTTTTTAAGAGGAAATGTTGAAAACATTTTCAACCAGGTGCCAGTGATTCACACTTATTATCCTATCTACTCAGGGGGCTGAGAGGGAAAGGACCAAGATTCAAAGCCAGGCTGGCAGAAAAATTCTCATTACCTTCTCTCAAAAATAACCAGTAAAAGGCAGGTACTGGTGGTTCACACTGTAATCTTTGCTACTTACAAGGCTGAGATCTGGGGATAGCAGTTCAAAGCCAGCTGGGCAGGAAAGTTCATGAGACTTTTTTTTTTTTTTTTTGGCCAGTCCTGGGGCTTGAACTTAGGGGCTGGGCACTGACCCTGAGCTTTTTTGCTCAAGGCTAGCATTCTCTCACTTGAGCCACATGCCACTCCCGGCTTTTTTCTGTTTATGTGGTACTGAGGATTCGAACCGAGGGTTTCATGTGTGCTAGGGAAACACTATACCACTAAGCCACATTCCAAGCCAAGTTCATAAGACTCTTATCTCCAAATAAACACTAAAAAAGCTGGACTGGTAGCTGTGGCCAGGTAGTAGACCAATATCCTTGAGCATGGGAGTTTAGGGATAGTGCCCACCATTTGAATTCAAGCCCAGGACCAGCATGCACACACATACACACACAAAATAATCACCAAAAGACAGGCCTGGAGGCACGACTCAGGTGGTAAGGCACCACCTAGCAAGCTTGAGGTCCTGAGTTCAAGCCCCATGTTTAAGCTTGAGGTCCTGAGTTCAAGCCCCATGTTTTCCTATCATGTTGTTGGAGGTGAGAGAATGGAGAGTTAGTGTTGGGAGGGTGTAGTTTCAGACTGGGAGACTGCTGCTGTGGAGATAGGTGGGGATGGCTGTACTACAATGTGAATGTACTTTTGTGCATTGGACTGACTGCATGCTTAACCATGGCCACAGTGGTGGCTGGAAGTGTGGGAGCCTGTGTTGACTTCACATGCAGCCTTGGGTTCAATTCCTAGCACAACACACAAAGATTGAAATGGTAGACTTCGTGTGTGTGTGTGTGTGTGTGTGTGTGTGTGTGTTGAGAGAGCGAAAGAGAGTGCTGAGGCTTAAACTCAGGCCTGGGCACTGCCCCTGAGCTTCTTCACCCAAGGCTACCATTCTACCTCTTCAACCATACCTCTATTTATAGCTTTTTTGGTGATTAATTGGAGATAAGAGTCTCATGGATTTTCCTGCTCTGGCTGGCTTTGAACGGATTCCCAGACCACAGCTAAGATTACAGACATAAGCCACCATCATCAGCCAATGGATTTTTTTTTTTTTTTTTGGTCAGTTGTGTGGTGCTGTCCCTCAGCTCTCAGCTCAAGGCGAGTGCTCTACCACTTGAGCCACAGCGCCACTTCCAGCTTACTGGTGGTAGGTAAGAGTCACACAGACTTTTCCTGCCCAGGTTGACTTCAAACTGCCATCCACAGATCTGAGTCTCCTGAGTAGCTAGGATTACAGGCATGAGCCACCATTGCCCGGCTGGCCAATGGATTTTTAAGAGACAAACATGGGATTTCAAGTCTACTCTGTTCTGGGTAACATTTCCCGATCTCTCCATGTTGGTGGCAAAGTTGGAGAGTCATCAAGTTCAGACTGTGGAGACCCCAGGATCTCTCAATCCCTCATGAGAGTGGTCTTTGAGCCACTGATTGCTCCAGTTTCTGGAATTTGATTACAACACTGATAATGGCTTGACTGTGTGTACCATAGTCTTGCTAATAGTGAGAAAAGGGAAAGAAAGAATGGTGTGGAGTGGGTGGGGCTGGGGAGGTGAGGCTGTCAACTCCTGTCACCAGGAGGCTCAGATCCTCCTGGGTAACCCTAAGCCTCAGATGTGATATTTGTTGGTGCCCAACTAACTTAAGCAATTTGTTAGGCAAGCAGAACCATAGATGTGCACATTCATTTACTACTGACTTCTAGTCAGTAGTATATAAATGTATGCACTTGGCCTTGTGGGTGACACAGACTTGATGTGGGGTCCCTCCCCTTTTTTTTTTTAACTTGATATGATTTCCTGTTTACATTTTTCCATGTACTTGTCAAATTGAATAACCCTGTAATTTCCCATCATGTTGATATCCCATAATTTTCCTAGTTATTTCCTGATTGCAAGGCATTTCAGTAGTTTCTATTTCTCTCTATAAATAGCATGGTGTTGTCTTTGGCAAGTGCTTCTTCTCACATTGATATTCCTGGGTTGATTGTGCGAGCAAACTGTTCCAGAAAGAGCACTGGTATGGACTGCTGGGATTGGTGCCTCCTCATCACGGAGCCATCCCACTGGGACTTAAAATATTTCAACATTTTGAGTGGAAGCATGGCTCAAGTGGTAGAGGGCCAGCCTTGAGCGGAAAAGGCAAATGAGGTTACACCTCCAGTTACTGGAGCCCTATCTTCTATACACTGGTTGTTTTTTGTCAGTCTTGGGGCTTGAACTCTGGGCCTGAGCGTTGTCCCTTAGCTCTTCAGCTCAAGGCTAGCACTCTACCACTTAAACTACAATGGTTTATTGGAGATAAGAGTTTCACAGACTTTCCTGTCTGGGCTGGCTTTGAACTGAGATCCTCAGATCTCAGCCTCCTGAGTAGCTAGGATTACAGGTGTGAGCCACTGGCGCCCGGCTACACTGGTTGTTTTTTGAGATAAGGTCTCAAAAGGACACACAACACACCTGGACCAGGATCCTCCTATTACTATTACTTTTTGTGGTTGTTCTAGTCCTGGGGCTTGAACTCAGCATGTGGGAGCTGTCCCTGAGCTTTTTTTGCTCAAGACTAGAGCTCTACCATTTGAGCCACAGCTCCTCTTCCAGCTTTCTGGTGATTAATTGGAGATAAATTTCACAAACTTTTCTGCCCTGGTAGGCTTTGAACCACAGTCCTCTGATCTAAGCATTCTGAGTAGCTAGGATTACAGGCGTGAGCCACACTGGTGGCTGGGTGCTATTCCTTAGCCTTTTCATTCAAGGCTAGCAAGCACTCTACCACTTGAGCCATGGCTCCACCATTGGCTTTTTGCTGGTTAATTAGAGGTAAGAGTCTTGCAGACCTTCTTGGCTGTCTGGCTTTGAACTGTGATCCTCAGATCTCAAACCTCCTGAATAGCTAGGATTACAGGTGTGTGCCACTAGTGCCCAGCTACACTCCAATTTTAATCTGCCCCGAGGACTTCTGCAGCTTAGCCTCCAGCAAGTCTCCAGCTTTCTGTCGCTGTCTCCTAGACATACTCCCTGCTTGGCCCAGACCTTCCCTTCTTTGAGCTCCTTTATCCCCACTCTATACCCCCTGCACTTTGCTTTGTGATGAGTAGCAACATTCCACTGAGGCTGAGAAGGGATCTCCCTCATTTCTGGTCCCCAATCCTGGGCACCCTGCTGGCAAAGCCAGCCTCCACTTCAGAACTGAGGGTGTTAGGTAAGTGAGGCTTTGAGTTGACTTTCTCCTAGATTAGCCAGCTGGCCTTGTGGCAAACTGATAGCTGGGTGAATCACATGAGTGTCCACGGAACAGTGACTGCCTGCTTTTCTCTTTCAGGATTTGCTAAGCCGATACCCAGTCACCAAACGCTCCTGGGTGGGGGCCCAGAGAGGCCCACAGGGCTGGCACTGGATCGATGGCGTCCCCTTGCTGCCCCAGCCGTGAGTGATTGTGGCTCCCTCCCCTCTCGGCTGCTCTATATCCTCCTTTATCCTCCTCTCCCCCCAGCCCATGGTGCCACTTGAGAAACCAATCCACAGAAATGTCCAGAGGCCTGGCTTTGTCTTAGATCCTGTCAACCTGATTTCTACTTGGGGGTCCCTCAACGAACAGGACTGTTCCCGCCATTCTATAGATACAAGGCTTACAGCTCAGTGAGCGACTGGCATGCCCAGTGCTGCACAGCTGGTGTCAGGACACACCCTCATGGCCCCTCATGGTTCTCTGGGCACTGGGGCTGGCTGAACCTATACAGGAAAGAAGGCCCAGCTTCCTGAGAACCCCTCACCCCTCTGCAGGCTCCCAAAGGAAGACCTGGAGAACCCGGATCTCAGCTGCGGGGGCCTGGAGGAAGGCAGGCTCGTGGCTCTCAACTGCAGCTCCCTCAGACCCTGGGTCTGTGTCCAGGGGAAGCAGTGATCTGGTTTCTGCCTGTGCTCAGCCTGTTGGAAGCTGAAGTAAGAGCTTGGAAACTTCTTCCCCAGACCTGGAATCCCGGCTGTGCCTGGCCCAGCCTGGGCAGCTGGATTTGGGGGCTTGACAGCCGTAGGCCAGGGGCAGATTGTTCTGTATCCTCAAATCTCAGTGCCACATGTTAGTTTCCAGCTTCTGACACCAGTCTATTCTATGACTTGAGGATCTTATTTAGCACTGCTAAGTCTCATTCCCACCCCACCCCCTTCATTAAAATGGTCATTTGTCTTCTCTCCTTAACCTGCTGTGTCCCCCGTCACACACCCTTCAGTTTCAGGGGAAAGGGCAAGTCAGCAAATCACAGATGGCTCCAAGTGAGTTCTCTCTTACATCTAGTTATATGGGAGGTCTGATGGGGGGCGGGGGACATGTTGCTCTAAGTCGTAGTTCTGGACTGTGGATGGGGAGCTGATGAGCAGCATAGATGGGAGACTGCCTAGGAAAGAAGTGAAAAGCCCCTGAGCAAGGAGGGAGGGGCCCCTCTCTTGCCTTGCAAGCTGGGGAATATGTCTTTGGGCTGGGCATCTTCTGAATGTCAAAGGCCGGGTCTGATCCCTGCCAACTCTGTGACTTCACGTCCCTTCTCTGACTCGGCTCCTCTACCCTATCCCTTCTATCCCCCTGCTCTACTTCACTTCATGGGAAGATCACGGTTCACACGTGGCTTCCTCATGTATAAGCTCCATGAGGACAAGGTTGAGTCATGCCTGAGCTCATCTTTTGTGCTTTGAGTGTAGCTGGGTGCTGGGTTCATGCCTGTAATCCTGGTTACTCAAGAGGCTGAGATCTGAGGACTGTGATTCAAAGCCAACCTGGGCAGAAAAGTTTCTGTGAGACTCTTATCTTCAATTAACCACTCAAAAACCAGAAGTGGTGCTGTGACTCAAAGTGGCAGAGTACTAGCCCTCAGCAGAAGAGCTCAGGGTCAGTGAGTGCCCTGGCATCAGTTCTAGCCCTATGCCCCCCACCCCCAACACAAAGTTCATGTGTATAAAAGTGTATAACTTGAGAGACGCTTAGTGGCTCACACCTGTAATCCTAGCTACTCAGGAGGTTGAGAGCTGAGGATTGCAGTTCAGAGCCAGCCCAAGCAGGAACATCTTCAGGACCTTTTTGTTCAGCTAACCAGCAAAAAAAACAGAGGTGTTGCTCAAGTGGTAGAGCACCAGCCTTGAAAAAGCTGTATAGTGCCTAGGGCCTGAGTTCAAGCTCCAGTACTGGCACCTCCCCCTTCCCCCAAAATAAGTTCATGTTGAAAACATAAACCCCAAATCATGCTAAAGATACTGGAAGTGGGGCCTTCCATGGGTGTCTCACCATTAGGTAAGGTCATGGGGGCAGGAACCCATGAAATAGGAGAAAGACCTGGAATGCTTCCTTTGTCTTGACCCGTATTGTCTCTGCAGTGTTGCAAGATTTCCCTCCAAATAAATATTGGTGTCATGCCTTTAAAACATCCCAGCCTCTAGCACTGCGAGCTGATAAGCTGCTATTTGGGGACAGTTGTGGAATTTGAACTCAGGGACTCTCATGCTTGCTAAGCATACTCCAGGGGAATTTGAGAGTTCCCCAATCCATGGCCCTGCCTATTCTTAGTATGTGTGCATCAGTCCTGGGGCTTGCACTTAGGGCCTGGGCTCTTGTCCCTGATCTTTTTTGCTCAAGGCTAGTGCTCTACTGCTTGAGCCACAGCTCCACTTCTGTGTGTGTGTGTGTGTGTGTGTGTGTCTGGGTGCGTGTGCGTGCGTGCGTGCGTGTGTGTGTGCGTGCGCATGCCACAGCTCCACTTCTGTGTGTGTGTGTGTGTGTGTGGTTTATTCTGCCTGGGCTGGCTTCAAACCTCAATCCTCAGCCAAGCGCCGGTAGCTCATGCCTGTAATCCTAGCAACTCAGGAGGCTGAGATCTGAGAATCACGGTTCAAAGCCAGCAGGAAAGTCCGTGAGATTCTTATCTCTAATAAACCACTAGAAAACCAGAAGTGACGCTGTGGCTCAAGTGGTAGAGCGCTTGCCTTGAGCTGAAGGGTGCAGGGACAGCACCCAAGCCCAGAGTTCAAGCCCCACAACCAACCAAAAACAAAAACAAAAAAAACACCTCAATCCTCAGATCTCAGCCTCCTGAGTTGCTAGGATTATCTACTCTTGGCTTTATGCTAGTTAACTGGAGATATGTGTCTCACAGACTTTTCAGACCAGGCTGGCTTTGAACTGTGACCCTAAGATCACTCAACCTCCTTATAGGAATAAGCCACCAGTACCTGGCACATTTGTACTGAAATTTTAAGTTTCTGCATCCTGTTTTCCTTCTAACAAGTAGATTTGGAGAGGAACAGCAGACATTGCTATGTTATTGTAGCCATCCTCCTCTGTGTGTCCTGACCCACTTTAACTGCTCCTTAGGAATGTGGAGGCAACATGGCTCCCATGAGCTTGAATTTGCATGTCCTCAATTCAAGGCAATAGCCAATCCAAGTTGGAACCGTCTAATCATAGGAGGGACTCTGACTGTCTTAAGTGAGCTAGGTGCTCACCTTTAGACCACTGGACTGTGTCCAGGAGTGATCACATTGTGATTAGAATGGAAATTTCCACACTGTGCTAGAACATGACTATTGTTGGAGAACAGTGAGTTTCCTGACAAGGACAGGAAGTATGGGAAGACTAAACAAGCAGTAGGAATCTTCCATGCTTGCATTCCTATCCCTATTTCATAGATGATACTCAAGTAAAATACACAATTTTCAGGGCATAATAGTGGTTAAGAATGCAGCAGATCCTGCAAGAGACAGGAATAGGCATGTTAGCAAAGAAAATGTCCAAATAGATGCAATCACTAAATACTGAACTATATTACAGCCTTTCCAATGGCTTCTAGTCAGACAAAAAAAAAAGCAAAGAGCAGCCTGGTGCTGGTGGCTTACACCTGTAATCCTAGCTCAAGAGGAGCCTAAGATTTGAGGATCATGGTTCAAAGCAAGCCCAAGCAAGGAAGGCCATAAGGCTCTTACCTCCAATATACTACTCAGAAAAAGCCTGAAGTGGCACGGTGGCTCAAGTGGTAGAATGCTAGCCTTGAGCAAATGCACAGGGTCAGTGCCCCAGACTGGCAAAAAAAAAAAAAAAAATCAAAAATAGTGCCAAAGACTAGAAGAAAAAAGAGAAAAGCCAAGAACTAGCTAGCAGGAGCAGGGAGGAAGAAACAAGGTTTTGAAAGGGGGAGTGAATAGGGTTGAATTTAATACACATGTATGAAAATGAAACCTGCTGGAACTGTTTTGAGGGAGAAGAGTGGATGAGGAATAGTAATTAAGGGTTCCATTTGGTTAGAGTACATTTATGTGCATTTATAGAAATATGTATCACAATGGAAGCCCACTGTACAAATACTACATGCTAATAAAATAAAGCAAGTGTGGATACATAACATGTAATCCCCACCAGCAGAAGTGCATACATATCTCATTTGTGATATTCTGAAAGGGGGAATTTTGAGGGAGGAGCTAATAAAGACATCCTACGTTTATACAGAGAACTGAAGCAGGCTATTTCAAGTCCATATCACGCATGTGTGCATACCAGGACTGGGGCTTACTTAAATCAGGGCTTGCCCCTTGGCTGAGCTTTTTTGCTCAAGGCTTGACACACTAACACTTGAGCCACACCATCATTTCCAGCTTTTTACTGGCTAATTGGTGGTAAGAATGTCTTAGGTTTTTCTACCTAGGCTAGCTTTGAACTTCAATCCTCAGATTCTTGAGTAGCTAGGATTATAGGCATGACCACCAGTGCTCAACCTGCACAAAACCTGGGTAGCCAGGTGGAGGACAGGGAATCTAGAAGGCTCCATGCAGGAGGACAGGCACAGGAGCCCCATCCCTGGGTCTCATTGCTGTGGGTAGGGAGCCTGGATCTGTCTATACTAGCCAAGAACAAAGAAGATGCTAGCGCTCACAATTACATGCAGGAACACTACTGGAAATGGGACTGACAGAACCAGGTCAAACTGATCAAACTGCTTTCTGTATCAGAGCAAAGGGCAAGGAAATCGTGACCACCTCAGAACTCTGGTTAGGGCATCACTGGAACCCTAAACATTCACAATGTTAAGAGCATACTAAACAGGGCTGGGATGTAGCTCAGTAGCAAAGCACTTGCCTAGCAAGTGCAACGTCCTGGGTTCGATCCCCAGTACCAAAAAAAAAAGAAAAGACAAAAGAGCATACTAAACATGTAGTAACCAAACAACCTGAGTTTCTCCTGGCTTTCTTCTTTCTCCAAAACTCCATGAGCAGTTGGGCGCCGGTGGCTCATGCCCACAATCCTAGCTACTCAGGAGCTGAGATCTGAGAATCGCAGTTCAAAGCCAGCCTGGGCAGCAACGTCTGTGAAACTCTTATCTCCAATAAACCACCAGAGGGGCTGGGAAGATGGCTCAGTGGTAGAGCGCTTGCCTTGCATGCCTCTGAGGCCCTGGGTTCAATTCCTCAGCACCACATAAGCAAAAAGAAAAAGCCGGAAGTGGCTCTGTGGCTCAAGTGGTAGAGCACTAGCTTGAGCTGAAGAGCTGAGGGACAGCGCTCAGGCCCAGAGTTCAGGCCCCACGACCAGACCCAAAAAAAATAAATAAAAAATAAACACCAGAAAAACCAGAAGTGGCATTGTGGCTCAAGTGGTAGAGCGCTAGCATTAAGCTGAAGATCTCAGGGACAACACGCAGGCCCAGAGTTCAAGCCCCACAATTGACAAAAGGAAAAAGAACCTCCATGAGCTTGATACCATAGTAGGTTTTGAATTTGAATAGTCCTTCTTGGTAAACATGGAGGGTTTTGGCTGGGTTTTAATTTGTATTTTGGTGGTTGTTTTAGGGTCTTTTTGGACATCCAGCTCTTGAGCCAAGTATGGGGCTTCCCGCCTGGTGCCCCTTGAAATCACCTGTTGAGATTAAAACCTTTATCTGATGCCTAGGACTCTTCTTAGATGGCTAGCTCAGACTTTTAAGAATAACAGAATTTCTGATCCACCCTGCTAGGAAGCCACACTGTCCAACGTTGGCAAAGAAACAGCAGTATGGCTGTACGGTTTAGAAATATGCAGACATGTATTGGGACATGTACTGGGAATGAAGAGACAGGGTTGCCTAAATCAAGTCAGAATGGTTCTCTGGTTTGTGCAGAGGCACAACAGAGAACATTCCAGCACTGGGACAATGGTCTCCCCCCAACAGGTATGGGAGGTTGTATGTGCTAAAGCTCAACAAGCTCCACTTTGAAGATTATGTACTCAACTGCACATACATTAAAATTTAAGCTACTGCCACTGCAGCATAAGGTGACAGGGGACGTTTTTTATACTTTTTAGATTAAAAAAAAAAACAAAAAAAAATGTGGTTTAGCGGTAGAGTGCTTGCCTATCATGCATGAAGCCCTGGGTTGGATTCCACAGTACCACATACACAGAAAAAAAGCCAGAAGTGGCACTGTGGCTCAAGTGGATGAGTGCCAGCCTTGAGAAAGTAAGTTCAGGGACAGTGCCCAGGTCCTGAGTTCAAGTCCCAGGACTGCCCCCCCCAAAATCACATTTTCCAAAATAAAATAATAATTCAGATAAAAAGGGTCATAAGATTCTAGTGGGAAGCCTAGGTGAGAACAACTAATTCCAGAAATGGTTCTTGAGTTTTTCCTTTGGGATAAATTCCCATAAAGTCCCATCTCTCCTTCAAAGCCCATCATTCTCTTCCAGAGAATATAAGTTTGGAAGAGGTTGGTTGACATGGGATTTAACTGTCCCTGGCTCTTCTAAGCACTGCCAACTGCTATTGTTTGAAATCTAATGTTGTGACCAGTCAATATCTACTCAAAGCACACTGAGCCAAAGAAGCCAGACACAAGAGATAACACCTGGCTAATTTTCTTCATACTAATTCTAGAACAGGCAAAGCTAGCCTGTAATGGCAAAGTAGATCTGCTTGGCCCAGGGAAGCCCAAGAATTGAATATGTGGGAACATGGAACTTCTAATAAATACTGCCAGTGAAGACACAGGTTTCTAACGTTTGCTATTAGCTGGTGCTAGTGGCTCATGCCTATAATCCTAGCTACTCAGGAGGCTGAGACCTGAGGATCACAGTTCAAAGCCACCCTGGACAGAAAAGTCCCCAGGAGACTCTTTATCTCCAGTTAACCAAAAACTGGAAGTGGCAGTGTGGTTCAAAGTGGCAGAGCAAAAGAGCTCAAGGACAGCACCCAGGCTCTGAGATCAAGCCCCATAACTGACCAAAGTTATTTTTAGCAATAAACTTTTGGTTCTCCTTGAGCTAGGCAAATTTTCCTTTTGTCCCTGGGATTTTATAAGAAAATTCTAAACATGTGCCATTTTTTGATCCTATCAGGAAGACCAAGTTCCAGTTTCTCCATATCCCTTATCAACACTTGGTGTTGCCAGTGTTTTTTACTTTGGGCCATCCTTATAGATGAGTAGTTACCTCATTGTTGGTCTAACTTATCTTCAACAACTAATTTTGGACTTTTTTAGATGTGGTTACTGTCAACTCACTTATTTGTGGTTCTGATATAGAATATTTGGAGACCACGCTTTAAGGTATCTTCGCCTAAAACATCCATGTATATTCCTGCCTGAACAGAGCATCTTAAAAGTGATGATCTGAATGGGAAATGAATTCAAAATGACACTTGGAAGAAAAAAAAAGGAAACCTGAGGAAGTTAACGTTGGCTTGGGCTTAATAATCAAGGTATGACAGTCTAACAAGTCTAACATAAGCTTTTCACTGTGGTTTTCTCTTAATGCCGTGGATGCCAAGGAAACTCAGCATGTTTATACTCTATGGGGTCAAATGTTTTTGCAAATATGACTAAACCTATTACTACATAAATAATACCAACCACCAGACTATCAGAAAAGTACTAAACACTGTGAGATTTTTTTTTTTTTGGTCGGTTGTGGGGCTTGAACTCTGGGCCTGGGCGCTGTCCCTCAGCTCTTCAGCTCAAGGTGAGCGCTCTACCACTTGAGCTACAGCGCCACTTCCCGTTTTCTGGTGGTTTATTGGAGATAGGAGTCTCACGGTCTCTCCTGCCCGGGCTGGCTTTGAACCACGATCCTCAGATCTCAGCCTCCTGAGTAGCTAGGATTACAGGCGTGAGCCCCCGGCAACACTATGAGATTTAAGACTCTAGGATCTTTCTATTTCAGAGTGGCTGTGTGGCATTACTGGGTAAACGAACAACTGGAGCCCTCTCACTCAAGACAGTGTTTTGATACATAGTCCAATTTGGCCTTGAACTCATGATCTACCTTCCTTAGCCCCATGTGCTAGGATTACATGCATCACCACATCAGCTTTAAGTGTCACTTTTGGATATAAAAGGAACTCAGAACAGCAGCAGCTTCCTATTCAAAGAGTCCTCTGTAATATCAATTTGTCAAATTCTGGACCAAAGAAAGTCTCCACCCCCACCCCCACCCTCTTGTGAGACAGGATCTCACTATACTGTAGCCCAGGTTGGCCTAAAACTTACAATCCTCCTGGCCTCAGACTTCTGAATGTTGGCAGTTGTAAGCATGTCACCATACTTTGCTAAGAAATAGTTCTTGAAAGGTGATTTTGGTTGCTTTTGTTCACTGATTGCTCTACTTAATGTATTTTTGTTCCTCACGTTTTCTACACATGACACTAGTCACTATGTGAGTCACCGGTGGGTATACAGGCCTTTCATTCAGAAATTGTTGGTTTCACTATGTTGGTTACATACTCTCTTTATTTAGGTTTGTTGAATAAGAAGTACAAAAGGAAACCCTCAGTGGTTTCTATAGGTGCAGCCTTTCTCTCCAGTAGCTATTACAGACAGCCCTGAAGTAGTGGAGTCAGCAAGGGGCCCAGACAAAGCACAGCTCATCTGAATCTGCAAGTACATATTTCCTTCCTTGGGTGCCTTGTACAGTAAGGCACTGTTAACAGTGTAACAGACAGGAAATACAACAAATAGTTCTAGTGACAATTTACTAGACAAGTTACAGTTTAACGATGGTGGTGGTGATTCTTTGATTTTATTATTATTTTTACAATACGAGTGTAGCCTTTATACTGCACACACACACAAAATAAAACAAGTGCTTATTACGAAAGAGTCCCTGCCCCCACCCCCATCAGAACATCCTAAACATAGTAATTGAATGGAACAGAAAAAAAATCAAGACTAGTCTGATTTGAAGATTTCAGTAAAAAAGCAAAAGTATGTAATGCCAACAGCTGTTCAACATCCAACTCTAAATAGCCACCATCAAACAAACAAAATAATCCCCATATGTTGAGTTTCGGCAGCACGCATTCCAGTATAATGCTTGAATCATAATCAACTATGAATTAATAATGGGAATAGAACCTTAGAACAGAAATTATATTGCTTCCCTATCCCTCCCTTTCTTTCACAGTTGGAGGGTGCAAGTATTGGGGGATACAAAAGTTAGAGAAGTAAAAAGAAAATTCTCAAAGCTGTTGCTGTTTGGAGTAGAAAGGAAGACAGCATTTTACAAATGGTCAAAAGATCCCAAGGCAAATAACACAATTCATTCACTATCACTCCTATTTGAAAGAATAGAGAGATCAGCATCTTATTATATAAAACTGTATTTCAGAACTGTATTACAGGTTCACCAGAAACTATGGATGTAGTTTTAGGCTTCATCAGGAAAACATTTTCAGTTCATTTTCAGTTAGATATTGTACATCTAGCCTGGCTGGATCAGTGTCTAGAACTGCTCACTGTCACCCTGAACAGCTGTAAACTAAACAATAGTATGTAACTCCATAGGAAGCTTAAGGATCGAAGATATGTACACACTAATTAGATCTCCCCTGCTTCCCGCTCTTCTGAGCTCCGCCTGTCTTCTGCTCTGCCATTAGCACTCTCATAGGACCGCTTCTTAGCTTTTCCATCTCGCTCACGAGGTGATCTGTCTCTTGAACTCCTGTCTCTGTCACGTGATGCTAAGTCTTGGTCTCTGAATCTTTCTTTTGAGGATCTGAAAAATATTAATTTGAGGAGCAAAATATGTTGGGAAACCCAAAATCCAAATAAAAGAATAGGATAAATTCTAAGGTATTGATAGCTGGAAAATATATATATATATTAAAATACATCTAAGAAAAAGTCAGTTTTCTGACAGAGCACTACCATAGTTGATAAGGGTAGTAAAACAAGATGTGTGGCAACAAACAGCTATGTGTCAAAAAACATAAGCTAAAATAATGACTTAGAAGATATTTTAAATATTTCAGAGACAACCATATAGCTCAAGAAATTCATAAAAACATTTAATATAATGTAGAGATAATGGCTTTTGAAAGTGAAAGACAGCAGATACTTAAAACAATATTTGAGAACCTAAGATTCCAGACTGGATAGAAATCAATGAGTTGGTACAGGAGTTATAAGTCTTTTCTGCCAAAATGATACTAAGTATCTGAGGTGTTGCAGGTCCACAGATTTTGGGAGTATTATACTTCCCTTCCTTTGTGTCAACTTTTAAGAATGTAAAACCATCCATAGCTTGCTGGCTGTACCAAAACAAACTACAGGCAACATTTGGCCTATAGGGAACAGTTTGCCAACACCTGACTTAAACACAGTATGGCTTTAAATAACCACGTTAATATAAAAAGCTGCTTTGCCCCTCCTGAGTTAACTCATCAAACTAAGCATGGAAGACAGAAGATGGCTATACTTAATAAATTGTGATGATCGTTTCTTATTACTACCTCCTCTGTGCCACTATCTTCACTGAAATAGGTATACCAAACAAAGCATATTCAATCACAAGGAAAACCACAGGACATTGAGATTAGAGAGAGGATCTTCTATAGATATAAATTCTACATCTAAATTGACCAGCAACAAAGATGTTTACAGGTGATACAGAATTCTTACACAGTTATTTCAACTTAGTCCACGTTCAGAATTAGGACTTGAGGCACTGTCAAGACCTGAAGAATCCTTTTTTTTTGGACATGTGTGTGTGGGGGGGGGAGAGGAGTGCTGGCATTTAACTAGGATCTTACATGCGCTAAATATTGCTGTACCACTAAGCAACAACCCCGGCTCTGAATAAACAATACTTTCAGGTAACCCTAAGGCGGGGGGGGGGGGGATAATAGGGGGACGTACACTACTCCATTTTTTGAAATATAGTAAGGAGGTGTTATGGTTTGGATATAAAATGGCACCAGAGGTTCATATATTAAAGGCTTGGTCCCCAGCCAGTGGTACTGAGAAGTGACTGGATCATGATGGTGCTAACCTCATCAATAAATGATGAGGTCATAGTTGAAAAACAGCTACTAGGAGATAGGGCCTGGAAGCAGGCCATTGAAGGGTATTGTTTTGTCTCAGGGCCCCTTCCTTGCACTCTCAACACCTATTTCCTGGTTCTTATCATGATCTATCTCACCGTGCACAACCCCAGAAGTGCCAGTTCATTCACCATGAACTGAATCTCTGAAACCATGAGTCAAAATAAATGCTTCCAATAACTGTTTTCAGAAGCATTATTTTGGTACAGTCACAAAAAAACTAACAAACCAGATTAAATTTTTTAAAAATAAAGCTTGAAAGATTAATACTAATTTCTTTAGGGGAGAGCGCTTTAAACTCTGAGCCTTGGGCACTTGAGCCATGGCTCCATTACTTTGTCTTGGTTATTTTTATATCATTTCTAAGCTTTTCCCAAGGCTGGTCTTGGACTATGATCCTCCTACACTCCTACACAGCTGGGAGTACAGATGTGAAACACCATCAAGCTTGTTTGTTAAGATATTTTGCTAAATTTTTTTGCAGAGTTGGCCTTGAACTACAATCCTCTCAATCTCGACCACCTGAGTAGCTGGGGTTACAGGCATGAGCCATTAACCTAGTGATCGATACCAATTTTAAACATTCTACTTAAGGTTTTAATAGACAATTTAAATGATCCATTAAGGAAGAAAATCACAGTCTAATGGTTGCAAATCTATATACTAGGCTTCCTTCATAGCCTTTGAAGGGAAGGAATATGAAATAAGGTAATAGGGTAACTAAGAATAAGGGACATTAGATTCTGGCAAATCCCAAGTCTTAATAATTGACAGATAAGAGGACCACCTAATAAAGTGTTTTCTGGCAGATCACAATGTCCCACACAGGGGCAGTTTCCTGTTTTAAATTTCTGTGAGCCTGATAAAGGAAATTCTCTCTCTCTACTGAGGAGATAGGGAAAAACAGGTGGGATAATTAAGTTACTTGGTTGGTCAAGGCCACTGGACCCTTAGCAACCTCTCTCTAAAGTCTGCTCTACACACATTAGAAAAAGACTTAAGCAGAAACCTGAAAAAGACCCTATTGACCTGGGGGAGTTGCTACCAAGGAAAGATCACAAAAAGAAATGTACTTTATCAGAGACCAGTACTTCATGGCAGGGGCTAGAAGACAGCAAAACATCAAAGGATTTTTAATGGAAATTTTTACCTAAAAAAACTTAATTCACATGCAGCAATAACGATGTTATATGGAATAACAAGAAGGATCTAATATCGATTATTTGCTAATATTTGGTAAAATCAATTATCATTTTAAAGAGTACATTTGAATTGAAAGATGAGAAGGGCTCTTGAGAAAACAAAAAATTTTAATAGTTTTACAAAAATATTCCTCTTTATGCACATGCTGAGAATCTCAGGTGAGAGTGCTAATGTGGTATGGTGGGAAACTTTTCCTAAACAATTTTACAGGAATAACAATGACACAATCTCAGAGACCAAGACTCCATGCCCATCCCTCCCATCTCCACCATCAATAAAGACATGAGAGCTTAAAACACCAGAAACAGTGACAGCTAGACATTTCAACTTAAGAAATCGACTGGATCTTCCACCATCTAGATGAGTGATTCTTAAAAATTAGCGTACAGGTTAAGACAATGAATTTTTTTTAAATTCTGTATCTGGACATTTACACTGAGGGTGGCGTCTACAATTCAGGTCAAGAGTATGAGGAAAGTGGTCTGCAAATATCTTTCCTACCTGCTTCTATTACATTAAAAGTCTGATGAAATACTTGAAGCTATTTTTTAATACTCTGGTATTTCTTCATCTAAACTTAAATCACTCTATAAAACCCAGTTTAGCACTTTATAATCTGTGGTTAACAGAATTTTTAATTCATACAATAAACCTCTTAGAGAAACCTGAATAAAGTTCCTTTACTACATTATTATTATTATTTTTGTTTTTTACTAAGCCAAGTGTAGTACAAAGTATGATTCTTAAAACCAGAGAAGGCGTTGGGGGGGGAGTGTTGGCATGAACGACACACATCCCTCTAATCCCAGCATTAAGAAAGAAGACTGCAAACTTGAGACCAGCCTGGGCTATACACTGAGACCTTATATATTTTAAAAACAAAACAAAACTATAAAGTTCTTACTGGTTATTTTAAGGACTACTTAGAACATGGCCAGAAATATAAGAAATAAAATACTGCTTGACAGCCTGTTAAGCAACTCAGCCTATGATTTCAGGGGATGAATGGGTAGCTGAAAATTAAAAATAATAAACTTTATCAGGTTTCTATGATATGGGTTAGAAATGTAAGACTAATAAGCACTAGGCACTCAAAAAATTTTTTATTCTATATGTACTTAAGAATAGATGAGATGTCAAAAGAAAAGGCAATTTTAAGTATAGTTTATCTTCCATAGAAATTTCCTGGTTTAAGGGCTACTATGTGACCTGAGAAGTTTTGGGAGCTAAACTCCTGTCTACCACATTCTAATGCCTTCTCTGCTCTAACTAGATATCAGGTCCTTAACTATTACACCTTTCCCAATGTCTGCCCTCATTGCACCTTTTGAGTCATATCAATAAATGTAGCTTCCTTAAAACTGAATCTGCCCAACAGGCCATAGGTGTACATAATAATTCATTACCTATTGTGCAGATTAAACAAGAATATACTAGAATATGTCTGCTCAAAAAAGTGTACCACTTCAAATAAATTGGAAAACAATCATAGCTAAACAACTCATTTAATGAAAGGAGTCTCAGACACTCTTAATTTGTTAATACATACTGAAAAAACTCAAGAACATTAGTGCCTAGAATCATTTGCCTGTAAAATACTGTTTTCCAGGACATAGTAAGTAGAGAAAAGCAATAACCTCTGCACATATCACTTCCAATTTCTTGCTCTGGCTCATATGTAATTCTTTAGGAATTACCCATATGAGAGAAAAAATTTATACACTGACACAGAAATGTGTACATATTACCAGGTGCAAGTTTCAAACCAATAATCTAAACTCTAAACATAGGTAACAAGTAAACACATGGCTAAAACGTAAAGGTAGCTCCGTGTCCTCTGACCAGCACGTCAGTACCTCCTCTTGGATCGCTCTCTGCTTCTATCTCTAGAACTATGCCGGCTTCTCTGGTGGCTGCGGCTGCGGCTACGGCTGCTAGAGCGGGACCTGTGGCGATGACGTTTCTCCCGAGACTTGGATCGTGTCCTCCTCTTGCGTTCTCTTGACATGGAGCGAGACCGGTGTCTGCGATGTTCTCTGGACCTGGATCTACAAAACAAGATTTGATTTCATTTTCAGACTTGCCAGCACAACATTTTTCTTTAAAGAGAAACTGATCTTTAGTAGCTTTAATGCCAACACTATTCCAAATCACCTAAGCCTGCCATTAAAATATGTTGCTGAGGTTACTATGTAGTAGTATTTGAAAACACAAACCATAATTTCATTCTCAGTCAGTATTTTATAAATTTTTAACAGTGGGCAGAGGGTGTAGCTCAGTGGTAAAGTGCTTGCCTAGCTGCAGTTCAGTTCTAAGTACATCAAAAGAAAATTTTGTTTTTACACATTAGGAATATAAGAAAAATGAAGGAAGCAATCCATACCACCAGTGCTATATGGTAATAAATGTATCAAATCACAGTGCAAGTCAAACTATGTGAAATATTCATATAGCATATATAATTTTGGAGGTAAAAACATGCAAATATTATTTCTCAGAGGCTGGGCAGGGTGGTGCCAGTAATCTCAGCTAGATAGGAGGTTGAGAAGAGGATCATAGTATAAAGCTGACCTGACCTCAAGCAAAGATAACTGAAGTAAAAAAGGGCCAGAGGCAGGCTCAAGCGGTAAAGTGCATGTGTGAGGCCACCTCCAGAGCAAGAATACTGCCCACTCAATTCATTTTACAGGACTTTTCCCAACTGGGGGAGGAAGCACATGGGCATATAGAAAGAGAAAAAACCTTTGTAAGCTCAATCAGCTCACAAACTACTAACATGTGGAGTAGGTAAATGTATATGATGAGGGTAGAGATGAAACAGAAGACAGAGGTATGTGAGGGCAAGCAAGGGATGAAAAACATTTAATTTTGTTTTAGAAATCAAGAGCCGGCGCCAATGACTCACACCTGTAAACCTAGCCATTCAGAAAGCTAAGATCTGAGGATCACAGTTTGCAAACTGGGCAGCAAAGTCTGTGAGACGCTTATCTCCAATTAACCACCAGAAAACCAGAAGTGGTGCTTGGCTAAAAGTGGTAGTGAGTAACAGAAGCCTGACACAGTGGCATCTGCCTAGAAACTGCATCTGGGAACAGCCGAGGCCAAAGGCTTGCTAGTCTTAAACTAAACTAATCCACGGTGATTTTTCTGCTGCAAGTAAATAAATGAGGAAACAAAAGCAACAAACCAAACCAAAAACATCACCAGATTCCCCACCCCCCACGAAGTGATAGATACTTTAAGCTGCATTTACATTTATGAACATTTTACATTAAAAATCTGTCCAGATGCTGGTGGCTCACGGCTATAATCCTAGCTAGTCAGGAGGATGATATCTGAGGATCACAGTTCAAAGCCATCCTGGGCAGGAGAGACTCCTACGTCCAATTAACCACCAAAAAGCCAGAAGTGGCACCTGGCTCAAAGTGGTAGAGCAGTAGCCTTGAGCAAAGAAGCTCAAGGATGCACCCAGGCCCAGAATTCAAGCCCCAGGATTGACACTGGAAAAAAAAAAAAATCATGGACTCACTAAAATTGGGTTTTATGGTATGCATACAAACTACACTTCACTAAAGCAGTTAAAATTTTTAAGTCATTTTAAAATGTGATGTTTTCACATAACTGTTTCAAATACAATTATTTGGTTGATACAGGATACAGTTCATTTTTAAATGATTATTTTGCTATATTACCATTCAGCTTATGTCAACATTTCAAAGATAAAGCACATGTGGACTAGCATGACAGTTGAACGAAATAGTTCCACAACTGAGTATTTCTAAAAGGAGCAGAGGGAAAAGACTAAGACTCATTATAAGTTTCATCAAATACTATTCCGCTTACCCACTCATTTTGAGCTAATTATTATGAAAGTATTTCTTCCAATGCAAAGTGTTTTCAAGTTTAAAAATATAAACAACTATTCCTGGAAAAATCTATTTACTAGGTGCTACTGAACTTTTCTAGATATTAGAAAGATTGAGCAATAACTCCTTGACTTCTTATAACTTATACTCTAGTAAGTAGTCTACAGACATCTAAGTCTTGGTAAAGAATATAGCTCACACCTATTATTCCAGCTACTTAGGAGAGTGGAACCTAGAAAGTCAGTTTGAAGCCAGCTCAGGCAGAAAAGTCCATCAGACACCATTTTCAGTTAACCAGCAAAAATCCAGGATGGAGGTGTGGCTCAAGTGGCAGAGTGCCCTGAGTTCAAGTCTTAGTACCAGCTTGCAAACACACACAAAGAAGGGACAGAGATATGTGTGCTAATTATTTTTTTAGCAGGCAAAAAAGTTCTTTCTTATGTCAGTACTAGGGTTTGAACTTATGAACTGAGCTTCTTTGCTCAAAACTGGAACTCTACCACTTGAGCCCCTGCCCTACTTCTGGCTTTTTAGTGGTTAATGGGAAATAAAGGTCTTGGATTCTTTTCTTACCCACCTGGCTTTAAACCTCAATGCTCAGACCTCAGCCTTCTGAGTCACAAGGATTTCAAGCATGAGTTAAAGGAACCCACTTTCTCACTCTTTCTCTCTCTGTAGGTAGTGTGGTTCAGGGATTTGCTAGCTAAGCACTCCACCATTTGAGCCACACCCTCAGCCACCTTTCTGTTAAGATGGCATGTAAACAGAAGTGAAAGGCATAAGCAAAGAGATAGCCATGAAGTGGATGAAAACTTAGTGGATGAAAGCTTACCACGTTAAAAGGATAGATAAAACCTGTTTGTCTGGGAGTGGGTAAAGGGATCTTTTTTTTTTTTTT